GGCCATTTTGATATTTTTGACATGCTTGTTCCATTTCTGGCATTCATTGAGTTATAGCCCATAATTTTATGAAAAATAGGTCACGTGATGGCTTAGCTGCGAAGGGCCTATTCTCAAGGTTTGAAAAAGCCATTATGTTATACTATTCTCCCTCTAAAATGTTAAAAAATTTAAGCATCTTAGGAGCATTTTCAATGATTTCTTCAAACAGAGGGGACCAAGGACTGTGGTGGCAACATTGCATGATTTGCATTTGATGATTACAAAGACCTACAAAGTTGTTTGCACTTTCTCTCGTTCTTTGAAGTGGAAGTCATTAATAATATTAGCACAGTTATTATTGATTATTGGTGATGATCACTGGTTAATCGACGACCAAAAGTTTTGTGGCCTACTAATCGATGTCATTATCATATTATTATGCTGCATATATCTGTTATGATTTTGCAGCATTTTACGTTATTAAAACTGATTTTCCTGTTATATATCTCTATGTGAATGGTTCGTGACGAAAACAGGCAAAAAGGAATTGCATGGGGAAAGAAACTGAATTCATAGGAGAAGACTCGTCTCTCTTCCACTGTAATGTAAAGGCCATGCATTTATGACCGAGAATAGAAAAACGTCGGGTCTTAACCAAAGAAACCAGGCCAACCAATCAAACAATGACCATGCTAATAGTTAAAGTTTGGGTTGCCTGCATCGGCTCATTTTCTGTCCTTTTGTACATGTGGAAATGAAGCATCCATTTAAGATGTTATGCATTGTAAAGCTTAGGATCTTGTATACGAACCAAGTCAGTTTGGTGTTCGATTGATGACGCAACTTTCTCGCTCCGTATTACAGTCTGTTTACAATCGATTGTTCCATGCACTACTCGGAATTTTCACAAATTTCAAATTCAGATCTAGTACTAACCTCAGAAGCATCCTTAACGGCATCTTCCTCGCATTTATCACATGAAAAACAGCTTCACGTATGGAAGGACTTTGACTAGTTGACTAGCACCGTCAATATTTCCTTACTTACAGCCGGGTAACCGAGCCCTTGCCTGTTTTGAGTGGCCCTGGGATAGGGCTTTCACCTTCAAGGCAGTTTTATACATGTGTATACAGTGGTGACACCTTTACACCATTATGTCAAAGGTGTTAGTTTCTAAGGAAACTGTTGAGTCACCTTGCTACCTATTGACTTGAAGTCCAGTGAGGCTGACGTTTCGAACGTTCAGGTTAATTAGCCCTTCGTCAGAGCAAAGTGAGGGATTGTGGAATATATCAGGAGTGTGTTAGTGGAACATGGAATTACGTTAGTATATAGTGGATGAAGCATGACAATAAAATACATGGATTTTCTGTTGAAAGAAAAGCGTCCATTGATCCCATGGTCACCCCACTTTCTTGGTCCCAGAGAAAAGCCTAATATGCAATATACTGTGATGGGACAGTCATGTCTTCACTTGAAAGAGGCACGAGTTTGACTCACCCCCATAGAATTAAAATACAGCCAATCTAGTATGGCCTTGGGGTGTACCCTGTAGAGAGCAATCAGTGGATATATATTGTCAAGAAGGATACCAAAGTTCTGCGTCAGTTGTGTTAGTTTTGGTATCTAACCAATCAAAAGATGTTTCCAGGTACACCTTTTTTCTCGTGCTCAGGCGGCGCCAGCTAAGAGGGAGATGACGGTGGCATTAGCCTGTGAAAGTATACTATTTCTGGCTGTTTAGGCGGAGACAAGCGATAGCGTTCGCAGGCTACAATAGCCTGCGATCAGGTGTTATCAATTTTCGGACACCACAGAGCGTCTGCGTGGGCAGCTAGTCCAGTCCTTCAATTGCATTTTGATACTTGCTATCAGAGAAAGCGGGAGATGTAATTCATGGTAGGACACAAATAGTTTGCTTTTATTTACTACCGTTTGTTTGCGGTTAGCGTTTACCGGTATAAACTATGTTTGCTTGTGGTTAGCATTTTTGTACTGTTTGCTTGCAGTTAGCATTTGTTTACTACTGTTTGCTTGCGGTTAGCATTTATTTTCTGCTGTTTCCTTGGGGTTAGCATTTTAAGTCTTCTTGCGTTAAATTAAGGCAGTGTTACCGGACCCTTCCTCAAGTTAGGGGGTGCACGTGCACGTGTATATGACAAAAAAAAAGGCCAATAAAATCTTGTTCTCTCTCTGAAAGAGATCATTTCAGGACAACCGTCCGTATAAAAAAAAGCAACAAATGGTCACTAGTGGACCAGCAATTTTGCCCTTACCTATGAAGGGACAGCGGTTCCGGAACGTCTTTTTCTCTCACGCACTCGTAATTTGCGTCGTCACGAAACGCTCCTGAGCGTTGCGTTATGGCCTCAATTTCGATTCTCTTTCTTTTGTAACGAAACACACTAAAATTCGCAGTTGAACTATATGGGAACAAGGATCTCAGGAAGGACGACCATACCCCCACTTTCACTTTTTTTTTTTTATTAAATTAACTATTTCTTAAATTATCTCCACTTCAGTGGTTCAGTCCCCATCCACCTTGGTCCCCAGCCCCCAACTAAAATGTTAATTAAATATTATTTGCATCTCAGCAGTTTACAAAGACAGTTAGAAAACTTTATTCAGAAGATGCATCTGAGGCCGGATAATCAACTTAGCAATTTACGTTGTCCGGAGGGAAAAAACTGCACATCACTGATTCCTGAGTAGCTACTTGACAGTCATTACGTACCAGTACAAAACTAATTCCACCACACAGGTGCCACAATTATTACTGACACAAAACTAGAGTAACCATCTTTCACACATTATTTAATACTCTTTTTACTGTATTTTGAGTCCCAGATCAGAATCTGTGGCCAGTAGATTTACTGGAAGCCACTACACATAATAGCAACTTGTGCTCAATGTGCAGTTCCAGAAAAAAATCCATACTCCCCCACAGAAGGGATAGGAATTTCCTGGGGGTGGGTTCTGTAAGACCAAAAAAAAATTAAAGAAATATATGAAGCTTAATTGGAATTTCCTGTGGGGTGGGCAAGGGGGGGGGGGGGGGGGGGGGTCTTATAAAAAATCCCTTCTGCAAGGGATATTTTTGGAACTACACAAATACAGCCGAACCTCTGAAATTTTGTCCCAATAAGGTCTAAATTCTCGTGAACGACCACCTCCCATGAGCGACCACCTAGACTTGATATTTTGGGTGGTCACCTCTGGAAGGTTCAACTGTAGTTTCAAGCAGCCACCTAACAAATTATGTCTGGGACTTAAGCAGTAAGTTCAAAGCTCACTCTAAAGATACAAGATAACAATAGCATAAACATCTCTTTATTATGGACAGTATTTTGCTCCACAACACAGTGATCAAGTCAGATACTTTTCCTGTCCTTTCACTATTTAATTCAATTGTTTTCTCTTAGCTTTCTTGTCAGCTACAACATGCAACAGTAACAGTTTAAGCCAAGGTGATAAATACAATGGAAGGCAATAAAAAATCAGACTTAACAGCAGCAAGTTGACACTTTTTAGATACAACTTGATCATTGTTAACTTGTTAGGCAGAAACTTCTGCAGTTTCTGCAATCTTCAGAGAAAATGTTACCGAGTTTAAATGCTCATTCTAACAAATTGAAAGCAGAGGTTTCTGCCAAAACAGGTTTAAAAATATTTAACTGATGTGTTGTACCTAAAAATCACTTCAAAGATGATAGAAAGCCAGATAGATATCAGTTTAATATTATTAACAAGGTTGACTACCAGCGGTTCAATTTATCACAAAGACAAACCAAAACCAGCAAAGTGACTTTGATCCCTTAATACTGAAAGCCCATGCCTCCTCTCAATAGTACACTTCTGTGGCACAAAGGGTCAGTATTAGAGAGTCAATAGTACTTTTTTCTGTTTCCTTAAGTCTTAATAGTTTTCTCGCAGAAAACTATCGACCTACAGATTGAGTCACAAGTATTTCAGATGTGAGCCCCTCACTTCTTCTTCTACTAGTCAGCATAAGGTAGGGTGAGTGTTTTGAGATCAGGAATAGTTTGAAAGTAAAGAGATCCATGCTGTTATTCTCAGACGTGCCTTGATCTGAGGGACCCTCATATTTCACTGCCAGATAAACACCTCCAAATTCAGTGTTTCCAGTAATACTCAGCCCCTCCACTTGGTGGGTATATGTTGACATGATTCAAAATTAAGACCTTTAAAATAAGTTCTCATTGGTCTCTTGTATTTGTTCTCTGAAAGGTGTTGCGAGGCAGACACCCAATTCACATCTTATCGAAAGCATTGCTGACCGTATAACATGTACTTTCATTTCAAGGTGAATGTGAAACTTCAAAAATAATGATAACGGTTATGTCATAACCATCATACAAGCATACATACACTAAAGATAACTATGATTTTGCTTGTTTTCGGACTCTAAAGAACAAACGTGAGGCCCAAAACACTTCAAAATGAATTAAGTTTGTTAGTTAAGAAATTCTACTGACACAGTTGCAAGGTTATCAAAAGTTGACCTCGTGATTCCACAATGTTCCTAGTCAATGGAACAAATTTATTAGGCACAGTCTGTGGCAAAATGAAGCTTAGTTCAATGTTCATACTCTCTCCACGTAGTTGGATGGCAGCATTCCATACTGCCCTGTTCTCTCCACTCGCCCTTCCATCCACCCATCGTCAATCACCGTCACTTCACTGATAAGGTCATCTTCCACAAAGCTGACCTCATCATCATCAGCAGCACTGTAATCGTATAACGCACGATATTTCTGTAGGTAGGAAAACATTACATAGCATTAGGCAATGGCCCTTATTCTAATTTTAGCAATGCAATGGATCTCATGTTACACTTCTTATGACGATTTTTGCAGTTTTTTTATTATTATTTTTTTGTTGTTGTTGTTGTTGTTGCAATATCTTACATTACATTACATATAAAAATTACCTACTACTTACAACGTCAATGTAACTTACAATTTATCGATACTAACAAAACTTACAATACTAACATTATTTACAATTTTTAATATCTTACATTACAATTTGTTAATATCTTTCATGTTAGCTACAATAGGAGGCTTTCTCACATATTAATTTGTGACTTAGATTTATGTTTCTCAATTTTAATTTTGTTTGTCAGCATCGCTAAGAAAGCATCGAAATAAAACTCTTCTTCTTTTCTTGAGGCAGTATATAAATAATTTTTGGCTATAATAATGCAGAGGTTTAAGCCAAGATGACGAGTGAAGTTATCTGTCACGCCATACATTGTTTCATTTTTATCGAGAGTGATCGTATCCCCGTTTTTGGAGCTCCACCAATTAGTAAAGAACGATTTTTGCAGTGTAATGCAAATTAGTCATGCAGTTTGCCACAGAAATACATGCAAAATTCACAGAAAATTGTCTCATTTAAGGAACATGGATTTCATCACTATGTTAAGTTTGAAATATAATTAACTTTGATTGTTAATTCCACATCCATTTATCTTTGTATAAGAGTTCCTACATATTTCTAAAGCTAAGAATATTTTCTACTACATCTGTCAATCATCAGGCTAGCTTATAATGCAATGTATTTTTCCTACCTCACTTAAGTCATGACTCCCACATGTTCGTCAGGGTACAAAGAAAATAGTTATAGATACAGTTACTGTAACTATAATCATGATTCAGTGTTGGAAATTAGCGCTCGCACGCTTGCCAATGCAAGTGTTAAAAGTGTCAGGCAAGTGCAAATTATCGATTGCTCACCCGTTTGGCAAGTATGATTTTCATGTTTGGAATTATTAAAGCTAAATTTTTATTTTCCATTTTTCTTAAAATCTCTTTTATCTTTCGAGATTGCCAACTTGGTGTTTCATAAATAGACAAAACAAAATACTACTTTCTTGCAGTGACAATTTACATAACGGAGGCGCCTTTTATGAGGACCAGAACAAAAAAGCTCAACACCAAATGGCAAGCTGGGCACCCATGATTACAAGATACCGAAAAAAAACAGATGGTTTATTGTGAATCATTGCTGAGATTTTTTTTGGAGGGGTGGCAGATTGTTCTGGGAGAGTGAAAATTACACTAGGCAAGTGGATTTTGAGAGTCACTCACCTAAATGGTGAGTGCTGTCAAAATTTAGTTTCCAACACTGTGATTTATCCAATAGATAGAGTTATCTATTGGATGCAAACTTTTGAACAACTGGGCACAGTTGCAATAGCCCTGAAAGCACTAGTACATGATTCTAATAACTACTAGTGTGATAGCGAGTACATCCAAGCAATTATGAAATGTTTCTTTCACTAACCGGCCCACTTGTCACTGGTGCGGCAGTTGGCATACTTGGCGCTGGTGGTTCTGGTTCACGTGGAGGTTGGCGAACTTGCTCAGTTGCCATGGGATGTTCCTGAGACAAACGCCGCTGATTTTGGATTTGTTTCACTTCTAACAAATGCCGCAAAGAAAGAAAATAAATCAGTAATGTGTATAAATACATGTTTCCACAGTAAATTTCCCCACACTGGGACAATAGGAAGCTTTTGGGACACAGAGCTAGATGGCAAGTTAAAGTAAAATGTTCTCTTTGAAAAAAGAAATGGGAGCTTTCCAATCCATTGTTGGAGGTGAAGCACAGCTGAATGCAGGGCTGTCATTAAGTTTTGAGCACCCATTGGTTTTCACACCCATAACAAACTTGTTAGTGAAATTCCCAGGTGAATTTTATCAACAGGCAAGTTCATCTGTAACAACAAGGGTTTATCAAGGATACTCAGTCCTAACAGGTGTCATGGGTTACGGCCCTTAATGACAGTCCTGTGAATCAAGAACAACCACTTTGCTTTCCTAAGTTGTTTCTTCTCAAGATGTAATCAATCCCTACCAGCCTCTGAACGCTGCTGAATACCAAGGCGACTTTGCCCTGATGAGTGTTGGGTATAGGCCACTTGACTGGCTATTTTACTACTCTGCTGGGCTCTCTTTGTCTCTGGATCATCAGCAACTGCTGTGTAATGTCCCTTCTGTGCTTCAAAGTCTTTGTGATATTGAATCTAGATCACAGGGAGAAAGACATTGAGTCATAAATATCTCATCAATAACATCTGGGGTTGACCTTTCTTCAGTTTTATGATTGAAATTGTATAATATAAAATATTGAGCTATTTAGCAATTTGATGTTAATAAAGGTGAATTATTACAGACGTTTCATTAAAGTTTTCAGCAGGAGGGTAACTGGTTTTAACAGGCAGGCAAAACTATTTTAATGATACTTTGAGAGGTCAAACCAGGCGGGCAAAATCATCCTCACAACCAGTCAATTTGCCCAGTCCCCAGCCCTTAATTTAACGAAACCCTTGTTGTTAACTGTCTCATGTAGCAAATTTCTGGAGCTGTAATTTGCACATTCCCACAGGTCTACCACTCAAAATGTCAGCTTCACAAAATTGCAATGGCGGTTAATTTACCTTTGTCAACTTTAAGTTGATAAAGAGCTAAGTGTTTCACTTCCCTACCAATGCAGCACAAATATTTAAGAAACTCTCAACTTTGCTCATTATATAATACAGCTGAATATCTTTCCAAGGCAGTTTTATTTATAAAAGGAAAAAACAAGCTTATAAGTTCAAATGCCCAGCCATATTACTGCTGAATACAATATTGTAGTACAATAGATTGTTTTCACATGACGTCATCACTTTCTAAAATCCAAAACAAAAGAGCCAGCAAAGTTTTTGTCCTCATCAGGCACAAGGGGCGGTATATTTATATCTGTTTACAACTTTACAGCTCAATAACGTGCTTCGTTTGGAATTCAGAGCATTTTGAATTTCAGAGTTATGGAGGTGCGTGACACAAGGCTATGATCAAGTTTGTCGAAAACTATATACTTATCCCATGATTTTTGAGCCTTTTTAGAAGTTAAAGCATTAGGAAAAGTGCTTATGTAAATGCTTGTTTGATCATTACTGATAATCAGTCGCCTAGATAGCCAAAGTAAGTTCCAGATGTTTACACTATTTTCGGGCCACCATATTGGTGTACCACGGAGGTACACCAACATGGCGTTTTCACACTGGGCTCTGTAAATATCGGCGAAACATTTCGACAAATAACTGAACTTTGGGGAAATGCACAGGCCTAAAACTTGGAGAAGTGGCTTATTTAGTTATCTTCTTTAACATCATAGTTTCATAGCTTTTTCCACCAGATGGTTTTCGATTTATTTTTTTATTGCTTGACAGTGAAAACGATCTATACTTTGGCAATAAACATTTGCAGGTCATGCTCAAACTGTGAGGCTGCAAAATTGACAAATGCAGTTGTTAGACTACCAACCAAAAAAAAACCACTCACATTGCTCTGTTTCTTTGTATTTTGTGCCAGTCGTAAATTCTCCGGAGTATCAGCAACTGTTGTAAATTTTGTGGTGGGATAATGCCTGAAAGAAACAGTTTTTGTGATTAGTAATAAGCAAAGAAATAAAGTTGAAGACTTCTGGTGGTTTTACAGCGTAAACATTGCCCCAAGACTTATAAGGTTGACATAAGAGCATCATACCCTACACAACTGTTAACATTTCAGATTAATACTCATTTAAAGGCAGACGTTAACAATAAGTTTCTGTGGGCTTATCAGCCTACAATATGCCAAGTGTTTAAAACTTTGTGCTTAACCAAAGCTTTCGTCTTGCAGGGCGGATGCATGTTTCACAATCTTCAAGCTAAAAAGAAAAAAAATCAAAATTCGGGAGATCCCCAAAGTTACCTTGAAGACCTCAAAAAATTGTTAAAAGTGGAACTCCACCGATTAAACCACAGAAATGTGACAAACATCAAAAAATGTTTCCCTGCAAATGCTCAAAATTGGCCAGAATAAGTGTGAAAAATGTACTTTGCGTGCTTTCTCTCATATCTGGAGGATTTGATATCCCATATGGGAGGCAGGGAGAGTCATTCTGTATTTCAGAGACTCCCAAATAATCTGGGAGAGTTGGCATAGATGTAGTAGGAGCATTTTTCTTCTTAGTTAAGTATTTTGAGTTCGAAACCATATAATACAACTGATTATTTAACTGCTCAGCTAATGAGTGTATGGTCTTCACATTTAATAATGCCTCATTTTTTTTCTTTGGTAGTTGTATAGGAAGTTGGGGTAAAATAACGTTAACTTTAAGAATTTTGTGATATAAAAAGATCAAGTTGCCAAGTTTTTTTATTATTTTTCAAGTTTCTTCCTGTGTTTACTTGCCAATGAACTGAAAATTCTTGGGAATTAAAAGGTTAAATAATATGATGACCTTATAACATTTCTCCATGTAAACAAGCCTTTTAAGACCTCAAATTTTCAACACGTGTGTGACAACCCATGTACGTGTAAAATATTTCTTATTCATGGGGATTTGAGTGGAAAATAACTGGATTTAAATGATAACGTTTCACATTGAAGCCTTAAATTTCAATGAGCTATTATTACTAAAGATTGTAATCTCTACATTATGTAAACAAAGACATGTTGAATATTCTTTACCCAAGATCAATAAAAACTACAGCTGTACTATTATTTATTCATTAAATCAGCTGATGAAACCATTACTTATTTATTTAGTATTCGTACTAGACGCTACAACACATTTACTATGCGAGATGAGGAAATTCCTTCAATGCTCACTCCGAGGTCGACAAGGAGATTTCTGTAATAGCCATCTTTCCTCACATCGGTCTTTCATGTTCTTCACCGCAAGTTTATCTTCGACAATCTCATAATGGCTTGCAATAAAATTTAGAGAGCGTTAACTAAATTACAGCTTGTCAATTTGTAGGTGCAGTACTTATTCGCTATTCGATCCGCAAAAAAATCACCTTTCACCTCAAAATAAATGCAAAGGAATGACAAGAAACCATAGGGTGTGACGATTAAGCGATGCTGTGTGTACAATACAAGTATTGTGTAAATATGTGTTCTTCTGATGCACGATCGCAAAACAGTGGCTTAGCTACAATTTTCACAGCTGTGCACGAAAGAAGCTTTCAGCAACGCGAAATAAAAGGAAAATTATTGGTATTCAGCGCGTGACTACCTAATTAGGTTTCGCTGATCCAAAATCACACGAACTCGTAAAGATATTCATTCACGTTCGATACTGGACTGCGGAAACCTTAACGAACAAGACACGAGCTATCTAATTAGCCAAAAGGGTAATCAATGCAGCAATGCTATCAAGGTTACGCTTTATTAATCGTTGGACAGCGACGCGGTGAAAATGGCTACTTCTACGTAGGGATCTACAAAAGCAAAATGGTCGATTCTACGATATTGTTGTAAGCGAGACTGGAAAACAGAATCCAACACGGATACACGCAAGATTAGCTTCGTGCACACACAGGGAGTCTTAACGGTTATTCCTATGCAAATGTCAAATGCATACATAATAACATTTAAGATGACACCACTCTGCAAGAGTGCCAAAGAACTACAAAGTTACAACTCACGCTTGACAGTAGGGATTTTTATCGTATCCTTTGTAGTTCTTCATCGTTAAAGTCATCTTGCAAATCTCGCAGGTGAAACAGGTCTTGTGCCAGTACTGAAAAATCACAACACAGGAACAGAATATCAGAAAGGAAACGAATCAACGCCATGAAAACCAAAAATTTATGCTGGCTAGCTGAGTTAAACGAGGCCTACTCCCAACATGGGACACGACACTACACCTTGTCAAGGCAGTTGAGCTTTTCCATCGGATAGACAGTCTTGGTACATCGAGCACACCGCGGGTTCATCTTGGAAGATTCTAAAATCAGCACAAAACAGTTCTCGACTATCCAAACTGGCGCAGAACGCCGTACTACAGCGTGAAATCCAAAAATAGCTTTCAGCTGACCGTGCTTTTAGCTTTTTTACCAAATCTGGTAATGTTCTGGGAGGAGCACACCCACAAACCTTTGCAAAACTGACCGTATATCCGGGATGTTCAACCCTCATCCGAGTGGTTTCCTTTCGATTCAAAATGGCGGAGGAAGTCGAAGATTGGGGAACAAACAGTCAGGTTAGAAAGAGTGGAAATAGTTTGTTCATTCCTCCACAGGCATTAACAAAAGTTGCAGAACTGTCCATTATTTCAGATGTCTCAACGAACTCTCTCGTGACGAGAGCTTTATGGTTTAGATATGAGCTTCATACATGTAAACAAGCGCAAATGAATGTTGTGAACATTCCTTGTTATTTGATATTTCTTTCTTCCTCCCTCTTCAACACTCCCAGATATCGTTCTTTATTGAATTCTTTGCATTCATTTGATGTAGTGTCTGAGTGTGATGATTTTATTGCACGTTCATTGCATTTTATAAGTTACATAAATCAGCATAAATTATTGAACTCAAGGAGATAAAATTTATGACCTGCTATAGGGGCTGAGATGCCAACCTAAAAAACCAAAAATATCTGGGAGATCTCAACCTCAAAAACGGTTGTTGATAGTAGAGCTCTGCCGATCTAGCCACAAAATGCATCAAATATCCAAAATTTACCCCTGAAATTGCCAAAAATCAGCCAAGATTTCCTTCGTATCCAAGAGATTTCATCTGTATGTGGGAGACTTCCATATAGTCTGGCAGAGTTGGAGATGTAAGAAATCATTATAGAAAGGGTCAGGTGATCTCCATAAGGAAATGACTACATACTGTGGATCAAGAGTTCAAGGTTAAAGGCTGGAGGGGATTGATCCTTGTGTTTTAGCGCTCTACAGACTACATCTAGGCCTAATTATTGCTCTGGTTAGCCTAAATATCACTCAGGTTAGCCTGAAGAGAGCTCCATTTGGGTTGATCGAATGATACAGTACTACCTACAGTAGTCAGCTCTATATGTGTTGGATGACCGGCAATTATTTCCAGCCTTGGGGTCTGAGATTCTTATACTACTTCTACCTTGTAGCATCTGATTTTTTTTTTTATGTGGCTAAATGTAATGTAGGCAAAGTTTGAGTTGAGCCAATGCTGGCCAGTGGTCTCTCTGTGGGGTCTCATATGGGGTTTTACAGGGCTTACGTTGCTGCTTGCCAGCTCTGTAAGAACATGCAGTTTGTCTTGAGTACCATTTGTGCTTGAAATGTGCTTTTGCTCCCTCATCTCCCTCCCTTTTGCTGATGACGGTAAATATATGGTAAGTTTCTCTACTGACTCTGTCAGTGTGACGGTGCCTGGTGGTTACCACTGTCAAGGTTGCCATGGATACCTGTATGCTTTGCTCAAGGCTCATAGCTTACCCAGCTCAAACATCCCTAAGGCACCTTTCCCAAGCTCATCAGTTGGCGATGAGTTAAATTTTCATTCTGAAAGTGCTGCCATCTCTGTGGATTTTCCTTGTGTTAAGGCTCGTGAACATTTAATAATCTGGTAAGTCTCTTGGTATACATACACAGGACACTCATTCTTGTTATTATTCTTTCAGCTTGTTACTGTGATTCCAGGTGGTAATGATCAACTTTATGAAGAAGCAGGTAAAAAAAACTGCTTGTTTTTACTGTTATTTTAAGGTTACGATATTGAAAGCTAATAACTTGAAACTGTAATCAATGGTATTTGTATTCTTTCTCTTAGGTGACTCAACGGATGTTAAGTCAGAACCTGCAAGTCCTGATGAGGATTCTTCCAGAGCACATTTTGGTAAACAAGCAAGCTATAATAATATTTAAAATTTTAAAAAAGGAGTGTAAAGGACTGGCTGACAAAAGAACAGTTGAAAGGAATCGTTTACAAAGCAAGTTGCAGAATGTGCCATTTACATACACTGGAGAGAGTAAAAGAAGTTGGAAGTCTTGGGGGGCTGAACACAAGCCTGGAAAGAATGGGAATATTGGCTCCACAGTAAAACAAAATATGGAGGTGCGGTGGCCTCATGGTTAGTGCGCTCATCTCCGGATTGAGCGGTCCGGGTTTGAGCCCTGGCTGGGGACATTGTTTTGTGTTCTTGGGCAAGACACTTTACTCTCACAGTGCCTCTCTCCACCCAGGTGTATAAATGGGTACCGGCGAACTT